TCCAAGGGTGAGTTGCTACAGCCCTGCATCAGCCAAAGTGGCTCCTAAACACAGCCCTGTAAACCCAAACCCTTTTGCTCTTGATTTACCCCAAATTTAAAACGGAGAACAGGAGCAGCCCAGGTCCAAAAATTCTCTGCGTATCAGCTTTCCTCAGCCCCATGACACGAAAACACGGCTAACAAAGATCTTTTGAGGGGAGCAGATGGAGTTTGAACCTTGGAGCCAAGTCCAGCCCAAATCTTAATGAGGTCTAGAGGAGGTTTACCTAAGTTTGAAACTCATAACGGGGTCTTTTATGTACGTTCCTGCTCCCATGTGCGTGTGCACGAGCGTGTGTGTCTGGGTATACACACACGCACACGGAGGTCATCCTTTAAAAAAAAAACCCAGTTGTTTTAGATAACAAAATAAAGTTACCTCACTCTTCCACTGGGAACACTTCAAATGTGGAGGGAGGGACATTTATTTAACTAAGGCAAACCACGATGGGTGACCACTGAGCGTGTGGGGACGTGCGTGTGAGAACAGCAGCGGCGTTTGTTGCCTTGGAAAAGAATTTCAAGGTGAAGGGAGTTTAAAAGGACATGAGTCTGTTAAAAATGAGCTCAAAAGTACCCCAAGCACAATCTGAAGGAAAGAGGTGTGTTGCTGGATCTAATTAATACACGGCTAGGAGGAGACAACCATGAGGAAATGGGGTAAATAGTCTTCAGCTGGAACAATCTATAAATCAGAGCCAGCAACGTTAGCGATGGTCACTGGCTTCCTCTGGAGATGGGCTGCAGTTTTCAGAAGGCTGTTGGAGAGCCAGTGTCCTGTGCTTCAGCTTTTAATGCATACTTCTTCACAAAAAACCCCCAACCCTCTATATTTCCAGTGTTTTACTGTTGGCTGGGAGGAAGCAGAGTGGCACTGATTTGTCTTTGTAGCAGAGTAAATGTACAATGCACACGGATGTAAACCTTGAGATGTAAACTTTTGTCCTCAAGTGCTCTGGAGATGCCCAGTGCTGCCAGGGGAAGGTGGATTTAACTCAAGTCCCAAGACTGCTTCATCTGCTGTCATTAGATCATCCACTGAAGGAACACTCAGTGCAAATGGCATCCTGATCAGGGGCATCTCCAGAATATTGTAGCCTGTTGTTATATCCTCTCCTGCATCATGTCCAGAAGATATTTGGGCTGCAGGTCCCCTTTTTTACCAGGAGATGGGAGGAAAAATGACCATCTTCAGTTGTGATTTCCATGTGGGATGGGAGGCAAAACCTGATGCAGCCCCAGGTCAGCACATTTTGGGATTGACTGGTGCATCCCTCAGTGGTGTCAGACCAATGTTAAGGCAAGAGATAAATGCAAGACCAGGCAACTACAGCAATCAGATAGATCTATGAAAGTGAGGGGGAAAAAAAAAAAGAAATGCACAGATCATCTCTTTTTCACAATTTTATTGGGCTCTTCATTTAATTTTTCAGCCTTGGGAAGTTTCTGTTCACCCATTGAATTCAGAACAACTGAAGTTCAGCATTTTGCCCAGTGGAGAAGTGCAGAGAAGCTAATTTTGTTATAAAAATAATCTTTTATCTGTGCACAACAGTAATATTTATTCAGGAAGGGTACACAGACAGCAGGAGGTCAGCGCTCCCACTGCTTGGCTCAAAGGCTCTACCACGCTCTTTATTTTATTTTATTTCTTCCTTTTTTTTTTGACAATTCGTTCCCATAGATATTTATTTTTCCTGAAAAGCGTGTCTTGAGTTGATTTCGCTCATCCTCGATGCAAACCAATAAAACACAACGGTGCCTGGCTGGGTTGGGTGTTTTGGCTGACAGTTTAGGTTTGTAGTCGATGGTCCCACACTGACCTATCACCACAAACAAATAACCTCCCCATGCCTTTCCACAACAAACACAGACTTCATTCCTTCCATCCAAGCCTCAGGAACTTGTGGTGGCTGCAGTTGTACATACAGGCTTTCCTTGAGCTAAAATCTGCTGAGAACTAGGTAAAGTGTTGCAACTGTCTCTTTCTTTTTTCTTCTTTTTTTTCCTTTTTTTTTTAAGTACAAGGCAATATTTTTTTATGCTTCTCCTTTTCCCCATTCCAGTCCTGGGAGGTGTTGATACCTCCTCCAGTATCTCTCCAAACACGGCACCAAAACACATCAGTTAAGATCAGCCCTTTTGTCAGCACAGAGATGCCAAAATCTAAATAAAATTCGTCATCTCGTTAAGAAGGAAGAGCAGAACTTGGCCCTCGGAGGTGTTGCCGTGTTCCCTTGACGCACCATCCACGATGTTCCACTCGGTGGGTGACGGAAAGGAGGGGGGAGGAGACGAGATTTAGGGGACATGAAAAAAAATTGGGTTGAAAAAGAGAGAAAATCCTTCTGTTTCGGGTGAACAGCCATAAACTTGAAGGCTGTGTTTCAACCTTATTAAAATCCTGCCTGTGCTCTAATGAAACAGGGATCTGTCAGTGGAGGAACTAAGGAGGATGTTATTACAATGTTCACTGTCTCTTCCCATACATTTTCATCCCGTGTAGTGATATAAGGCTTTTAAAACCCTTTAGGCACCTGTAATAACATTAACCTTTTCATCAAAATATCCTTTGAGCATAAGAAATTATGTTTATTTAAATTTTGCAATGGGGCAACGATAAAGTCCCTTCGCTATTTTCCTGCTTCTGTTATTTGCACATGAAAAGCTTTAGCCGGCAAATCCTGGTTAAGGGGCTGCATTTCGTTTAGGCTCCTCTCTTCCTCTCCAAAAACATTTTGTCCTGCAGGTAATGGGGGACAGAGACCCATGCACATGGGGTTGGGGTGCTGCAACTCATGCTGCCGAAAAAATGGTGCTAAATACAGCAAAATAAGTTTATTTTGGTTTTATTTTGTACCAGTTTAACCCGGGCAATGCAGCGTAACTCCCACCTCCAGGCAAGGATAACACTGCAGGATTATTTTAACTGTTTCTGCAGTGGTTCTGATGGAGCAAATCTTTGCTTATAGAAAGGAGATAAATCCCTGGGAGTCTCCCCGGGACTCACCGACCAGGAAAACAAAAATACAACAATTTTAGTTCCTTGTTTAGGCAGTTTCTTTGCCTTGTTGCAGGGTTGCTTTGCTCTGCAAAGAACACCACGTTTTGCTGATCAAACATGCCTTGAGCGATGCACGGTTGTGTCAGCAGAGAAAGGGGGAGTGAAAAGAGGGAGAAAAAGATGTGAGTTTGACAGACTTAATCTAAGCCCTGCTGAAAGACGGGGCTGAATCAGAGCACTGAGCGTGCCCGCGTCCGTCACCATCTTCTCGCCTTTCAAACCTCGGCCGTGGGTGTTCCCCTCTTGGACTGAGGGACGGGCTCTGCTGCTCTGACAGCTCTTCCTGGGCCTTACCACACTGCCCATTTGCCCCATGCAGGCACCAAGACTCTCTTGTGCTTGGGGCTGTAGAAAGTTGGGAAAAAATCCCTTTTTTGCCCCCTTTTGGAGCAGAGTGGCTCTGATACCTCAGACCAGCTCCAATCCCTCAGAGCTGCTCCAAGCAAGGTGTTTTCCCCTTAGGGTGACCTGAGGGGTGATTTTTGCCAGCAGCAGAGGCTGAGCAGCCCTTGGATCTCCCTCAGCTCAGCCTGCCAGGGTGGTGGAGCAGAGGAGACGCTGTGGATGGATGGAGACAGATGGGGACAGTGGGAGGAAGCGCTCAGTTGACATTAGCGCGATGGGAACAACAACAATCCCGGCTGCTGTCATGTTTTGTTTTGTCTTTAAGGCACCATGGTGGTGGAGAGCTTTACAGAGGGGGCTGAGGAGGCTGGAGATGTTTTGCAGATGTTTAAGGGGGACCCCTTGCACATGGAGGAGGAGCCTGGCGGAAAACAGGGAGGTGCTTGTTCAAATGGAAAGGCAGGGATGGAGATGGGCTCTCAGCAGATCCAGAGGCCAGGTCTTGAATCTGAAGGACCGAGGAGAGCACGGGTGGGGATGGGCTGCAAGGTGAGGACAGGAAGAGAGCATCTGATGCAGCAGAGAAGAGCCAGAGCATGAGGTACATAGAGAAGGGAGATACAGTCAAAGGGGCAAACTAGAAAAACATCCTTTGCAGCAATATTCTGGAGGTGAAGCAGCTGGAAATGCAGGGATATTCCCAGAGCCTTGGCATGACTTCTAAACATGTCTTAGCAGGGACCCTTGTGCCTGAGCTCATCTATTGGTTTCAGACTGAAAGAGGGTAGGTTTAGATTAGATTTTGGGGAGAAATTCTTCCCTGTGAGGGTGGTGACGCCCTGGCACAGGTTGCCCAGAGAAGCTGGGGCTGCCCCATCCCTGGAAGTGTTCCAGGCCAGGTTGGACAGGGCTTGGAGCAATCTGGGCTAGTGGAAGGTGTCCCTGCCCATGGCAGGGAGTTGGAATGAGCTGAGCTTTAGAGTCCCTCCCACCCAAATCATTCCATGATTCTATAATTCTATGCACTGGTTTGTCCAAGAGGGTTGTGCAAGGGATGTCCCAGAGAGACTGGGGGTCTCCAGTGCTGGGAGAGGAAAGAGGCTGAAGGTAAGTCAGGCTCATGTCTCTCAGGAATGGGTCTGGGGGAGCTGATTGAACCTAGAGGTAAAAAGACGACCTTTTAAATGCCCCTTCCAGACCCACTTCTGTACAAATCTGTGTATGTGCAAGTAGGCAAATGAATAATTTCAGTGATTCTCTGTGTAAATAAATTTATTTATCTCCCCACATTTAATTCTGAGATTTTTATGTGTACAAGCAGAGGGGAAACTGCCATTTTATAGTTTTGCCTTGTCCTACTCTGCACACATTTTGTTTTCTTTGAGTTTTCTCCTGGCTTAACCTCTTTCATCAGCATTTTGCCTGCTACCCACAAAGCACACAATTGGGATTCATCAGAACTGCAAGTGCAGAAAACTGCAGAGGAACCGCCATTGAAACAAATACATCTGTATTTTTCTGGCTCTTTTTTTTTGCCTGAACAAAAGGTGGTCGGCACACTGGGAGTATTGACATTTCCAGTGGGAAGATCTGGATTTAGAAAAGAAAATTACAAGTGACATTTAATGACAGTTAATCTCATTACTATTATTATCATCATTATAATTATAATAATAAGTACTCTACCATACTACTACTACTCGTACTACTACTACTACTTATTATTATTATTATTATTGCTATTATTATTATTATTATTATTTTGCTTTGCTTTCCATTCAGTGGTTCCAGAAAGTTTGTCCTTTAGGATTTCTCCTACAACCACTGGAAATCAAAGAGGACTGTGAACTAAGAGGAGCTGGTGGGGCCATACCTTACTTTCTTGAGCAACGAGCGTGTCACCAAACCCTTCCCAGGAAACAGCAATTGTAACCGAGCCTTCCAGCAAAATTTCACAGGGCTTTCTTCCCCAGCAGGATAAAATTAGCCGAGCTCTCTCGAGATGACAGCTAAGAACTCCAGCTTCCCTCAGATGACCTCAATGGAGTCATTTGTTGCTTAAATGACAGACAAACGCAGTAATTAGGTCTATTTAGTAAAGGGGAGGTGAAAGGTCAAACTACTGGGCAAACTGTCTCCACTGCTTGACTTGGTGACCAAGGCGGGGGTTTGTAGGGAGTGATGTTTGTACAACAACCTGACACGGGCAGCAGCCCGCCAGCAGGTCCCTGCTCGGCAGCAGGGGCTCCCAGTCGTGCTCAGAGCCTGAAATCCCCTGTTTCTACTAATAAAACCCTGAACTCACTCATTTGTGGCATAAGAGATTGGACCCAGAGGAAGGAAGAGCCGATGAAAAGATACGCGATTGTGTTACGGGGCTTGGGGTGGGGTAATCAGAAAGGGGATCTGTGGAGAGGGGTCAGGAGACATGGGCTGAGTTAAGTGGGAGATTACCAGCCCTCCCCACCTCATTTCCCTCTTCCTCCCTGGCAATGCTTCCTTCTGTTCTCTTTGCTTATTTGTTTTTCTGAACTTTGTTGTGTTTTGTGTGACCAACCCGACAGTGCACCCTGCATGCCACACCTGGATTTCTCCCTGCTGTTTTGGTTTGGGTGTCACAGCATGGAGTTTGAACATCATACATACATAGAAGCACTGCTTGCCATACATCCCAAATCTCCAGAAGACCCCTGAATCCAAATGTTTATCAGAAATGGTTATTTTTGGCAGAACAATGCAGTTGAGCTCCTGCTGGCTGTCCATCCTCAGGGCTCCCAGCAAACCAGCACCCTTTTACCTGTGCAACATTTGAAAGAATTTCCTCTGCTGTTTCATAAAGCTGGGTAACTCTGTAGGATTTTTAAGTAGTGGAAACTGTAAATGAAGAGCTCCATTTTGCATAGAGAAGTTGTTAGAGATAACTAACTCATTGGTTTTTAACGAAAAGAGCTTGGAGTGTCCTCACCAGGAGCACTGGGTCACGTGTCTGCTAAAGTGCTACATTTCTGGATCTTTCTCTGAATTTTCTTTGGGTTTCCCTGCTTTTACATCTTGCTCGAGTGTGAATGGTGCTTAGGAATCGTGCCAGGACCCTTCCTGTGGTCCATCACTGGGGTGGTCGCTGCTCTGAAGCACATTCGGGTGTCCTGGCATTTCCCTCCACACCTTTCCTCTCCCACACCCCTTCTACCAGAGCCCCTGCCCATCTCCCCCAGACCTCTCTGTAAAACTCCCTTCCTTTGGGAGGCCTCTTAACCTCTGTCTGCGGGGCCCTGTGAGGAGGTGGTGCTGATGCTGATGAGAGAGAGGGTCACGGAGAGCCGACGTGAGAGTGAAAAGAAAATTAGAAAACAAACAGAGGGGAGGTGGAAACGCGCCCGCCCTTGAAGTGCAAAGACACCCCCATCCCCCCCCCAAAGGGGCTTATCTTCAAAAAAGAGCCCTTGCGATGATACAAGAAAGAACAGACTTCTCACACCTTGTCTTCACTTCCCGGAGATCCTATCAGCCAGAAGTGCCTGTGATCTCAGTCAGACCTCTCTACCTTGCCACTCGCCTTTCAAGTCTGCGGCAGCTGTTTTGCTAAGACGGAGACCTTCCCACTTCATCCTTTTCTCCCTCGGTGATGGCGAGTGAGAAGACAGGCGGCATTTCTGACGTGTTTGGGGAGAGGTAAATGTCACTCCAAAGCCTTTCTTTTGTATATTTTCCCGTGGACGGATTAGTTTGTTTAAAGAGCATCTCCTATTTAACACCTCATTGAGCAAAAAAACATGTACGGACAAGATTTTTTTTTAACTGGCTGCTTATAATGAGCTTAAAGTGCACACCAAGTACTTAAATAATTTGCTCAGTTTTCAGAATTACTGATCACACAGGAGTTAGGCTCTGGGTGAGTCATGAAACTTATATGTTTTATGATATGACATATTTTTTCCAACCAAAACCAGACAAATCATGGTATTCTGGATGAACATTCAGGGTGTGAGTAAAGAATCCCAAATTGGAAATAAGATTTGCTACACTGGTTTCTTCTCCTTAGGATCTGGTTGGAGTCCCATGGCTCCTGTGTTGGCGTTAGCAGGAGGGACGTCCATAAGCCAAGAGCAAGGAGTAGCCCTTGTCCACATGGATTGAGTCATTCCTGCAGTGTAGTGGTAACACATTGCTTTTGCATTGCACTTCTCATTAGCCTCCATAGACAGCAGTGACCTCCCACCCCCAAAAATGCTGATGTTCTCTTAGGAGATCTCCCTTCATCTGTTCCCTATCTTCATCTGACACAAACCATCCCGCAGGTCCTCTGTAACGGGATTACATGGATGAGATCCACTTTATCGTGAAATCTTTGAGTGTTTATGACCTTTTGTTGGTCCTTCGTGACACTCCTGGGAGAGAAGTGCCCAATTCAGCCTGATAACATTCCTCTGCTGTTCTGCTCCTCTTCCTTCAGGAGTCTTTCCATTGGCTGCAGGGGGACTGCCCAAGGGGTGAATTCCAAATCCCTTCCCATAGAGCAGGTCTCTTTCACAGAGCAGGCAAAGCTGTTTCTTCCTTAGGGAAAAATTAGCTCCAACAGCTTTCTCAAACCCTTCCAGCCCAATCAACTCTTACTCTGTGCTTTGTAGCTCACTGCAATTTCCTATGAACTTGAGGGGAGATTTTCTTGGGAAAAGCTCTTTTTTTTTTCCCCTGTAACTTTTCCAGCTGTTTATTTTCCCCAAGGAAAGTCAAATTATCCTTGAGCATTGTATCAGCAGATGTATGAAAAAGCTGATCTGTCACACAAGAAAAACCTGAACTGAACAGCTTCCTGCATTTCCTGGACTGAGAACCTTAGAAAATAAGACCCAGACCATTTTTCTTCTAGCACAAAATGTCCAGTGTGAAATCAAACCATGATTCCTCGGACCTTGGAGGACACTTGGGGATTTGGTGACCTGGATGTATGCAGACTACAAGGGAGGGGAAGCCATTGGCCAAAACTAGAGCATTTCAGGGACCAGAGTAAATTGTAACAATGTTCCAGGGAGCTTGCCAGGGAGGCTAATGGACTGATCTCATTCACCTTGATGTAAGTCCAGAGTAGCTCCATGAAAGCCAATAGCACTGCTCCTGGCTCCGTGTGGAGGTACCGCTGAGATCACAAATTACACATTTCTAATGAAGACAAAGTTCAAGGAACACGTGCCATGCATGGAAAAGGAGGGTGTAGCAGTGTCTCAGGTCCCAGGCTTTGGATCCCAGAGGAAATGAAACTGGCTCAAGTACTAAGGATTTTGGAAGTGTTCTTTCATTGACTTGCTGAGTAAATCAGGAGTGGTGATGCTAATTAATACTGTCCCTATGTTTAAAAGCGGGGACCCAGACAGGAGCTGCTGCAGCCCCACGTTGTCTGTGGTCCTTCAGTGAGGGTGCAGAAGTGCTGTTGCAGGAGTATCCTGGAGCAGCTGGAAAGTATCATCACCATTTCATTTCCAGGAGGGCTCTAACCTCAGGCACCCAATCCTCCTCCATCTGGTCTTAACCAAAGGGCCATAAGACCATGATATATGTACATCCACCACAGCAAAACTAAGGTGCCATGTCTCAGGGATGTACAGGACCTCAGCTGTGTGTGAATCCTTTGGGATCTGCTATTCCTCCTTGCTGAATCTTCCCTCTGGAGCTCTCTGAGGATATCTCAAGAGGGCTGTTCTCCCTATGCCCTCCCACAACCTGGTTAAACTGAGGTAAGGATTCATCTTAAGTGTCTTGCACAAACCCAAAGAGAAAGGCAGAAGAAAGAAAGGAGCAGTGTCATGAACTCATTTTCCAAAAATTTAGTTGAACATGGTCTAAAAAAAAAGAAAAAAAAAAGAAAGCTATGAGAAGCCTGGACAAGCTCCTTCCTTGGACATGTAGAAAAAATTCATTGTGAGATCCCCAAGGATGCTGTCTCTCTGGTTTTAAATCTCATGCAAGAGAGAATAAATACAGAGCCCCTTCCCCCTCCTCCCTTGACATTTCATTTGTGATTAAGGCACTATTCATCGCCCCTCATCTCCCAAACCCTTTACTATTTATGGCCCTGCTGGTTTTGCAGTGGTTGACACTAGCGTGCATTCAGCTCAGTTCTTCTCTCCCCGTCCCATCCTGTTCCCCCCTCCCCTCCCTAGAGGCATTTCTCCATTTCAGTAGAGAAACCACTAGTGACTGGAGTGTCTGTGACCTCTGGGCTGTCAAACTCCCACTAACTAAATAAAAGCAGCCCAAGAGGGAGAGAGTGAGCATAAATCACCTCCCATGACAGAGACCACCTGGTAACCGCTCACTGCGCGGAGGTGCCCAGGCTATTCCAGCTGCTGAGTTTGCACTTTACCGCATTTTTATGGACACCGTTGGAGAGATACATGGTGTTTACACAAGGAATGGAAATTTCAGTTTTACTGCATGTAACTGATTTCCTCAACTCGTGATGGGCAAGGTCTTTGATTAGCAAAACGATGAGGCCCATCCCATCCCATCCCATCCCAGAGGTGTGTGGAGAGCCTGTTCCCAGGTAGGATGGGGCAAACCTTGTAAGGTCTGGGCTCCTTCCGTGCTCATCCACATGAAAGCTTTTGCCACCACGAGGGAAGATGAATAGGTTCATCTCAGAGGAAAGCAAGGTCAGATACAGGTCCAGGCAGGCTTGATTCCAGCCAAGAGTGGCATCTTTATGGTTCACCAGCTTTTTGATCTACACTGAGGGTGCCCATGTCTTCATCCTCCATGTCTGGGTGGCCAGTCCCCTCAAATCCAGCATGCCCCAAGTACCTTCAGCCTTCAGCCCACCTGAGTATCATTAAGGATCACCCAAAGGTGATCACAGAATCGTAGAATAGTTTGGGTTGGAAGGGACCCTAAAGCTCATCTCGTTCCACCTCCCTACCATGGGCAGAGACACCTTCCACTAGACCAGGATTGCTCCAAGCCCCATCCAACCTGGCCTTGGACACATCCAGGGATGGGGCAGCCACAGCTTCTCTGGGCAACCTGTGCCAGGGCATCACCACCTTCACAGGGAACAATTTTTTTTTCTAATATATAATCTAAATCTTCTCTCTGTCGATTTGAAGCCATTTCCTTTTGTGATGTGAAGATCAGCTGAAGATCTGCCACTGCTGACAGAAGAGCTCTTACTAGGGTCAGATATGGCCATTTCCAAAGACTTCAGGTTAGTTAATCCATGTGGTTGTGACAGAGTGAATTTGTGATTTGCTCCTGCCCTTTTACATCTGGTAAAGTTGCTTTAAATTATTTCCAGCCAGGATTGCAACGCTCATCTGTGGAGGCCTCAGAGTTTGTTATTAAGTAGCATTGCCATTTTTAAACAAAAAGATGTATATACGAAGCAATGTTTATCAAAAAAAGACTTTCACTAACGAGAAGGGAATTTTGTTGATGGTCTTCCATGAACAAAGAAAATGGGGGCAGAGAGGTGAACAACCATGAAGTTCAGTAACATTAATCCTGTGAAATGAAGTTTTAAGTGGGGAAATTAGGCTTAGATAAGGGTGATCCAGAAAGGAGGAGGACAATAATATCCCAGAGGTTTCTGAAATTTAATAAAGAAAAAATATAGATTATATTAGAAAATAGCAACTAACAGGTGTGTGTGCTTTCTTGTGATCACTGTTTTTCCTGACTGCAGAAATTTCAAAGCAACTTTTAATTTTGTTTTGTTTTTTCATGGAGAGAGTTCTTCCCATCAGCGTCTTGGAAGAACAAGAGGCTAAGACAGATTTCAGGACAGGAACACAATTTTCCATCTTGGAGGTTGTTGCAGCCAAAATGCAGCTAGGGAAACGCTGAAGCCAGCTGATAGAGTAAAACCCTAGGACTGGGTGCACAATTAATTTTTTCAGACTTGTTCCAAACCCAAATAACTCAGAGGAAAAGCAGTTTGGAAATAATTCAGGTGAGATCAGCCAGAAACACTGTTTTGCTTTTGCACGGAAAAGCAAAGCCAAAAATCAGAATTGCAGTGAATGAACCCATTCACAGTGAACCTGCTCATGGTGAAAACCTCCCCTTCTAACCCACCCCTGCTGACCCTTCACACCACGTGCTGTCCCCAGTTTGGTTTTCCTGAGAAACCCTGGGGGTGATGCCCAGGGTGGCATCATGAATGGCTCAGCTCAAAGAGGAATGGCAGTCCCAGATTGTCCCTCCACTCTTTTCCTGCTCCTGTGGATCTTCCAACCACTTCTGAACCTCAGAGGAAGAGAAACTGGAGAAAAGAAGCTGGAGAGGGGTCTGGAGAGGGCTGGGCACTGTTCAGTTGGAAGCTGCTGATCTGAAGTTCCTTGATATTTAAAAAGATCAATTTTCTGTGCATCTTTTCCCTCTTTGGATAACAGAACCAAGGTATCAGTCCTGCTGGAAGATTGCCATGGGGCACTTCATGGGGGCTCCAAAATGCTGGAAAACTAAGATAGCTACCAGCTTGAGGAATATCCCCCTGTTTTTTCTCTAGATGAGATCTATTGGAGATGTTTAAGGATCTGGGTATCCTACTCGGTTAATCCCTCTGGACTGACTGAGATCCTGCTGGATCTGGATCTGGGGTGAGCCACGGGCACCTTGGTGCTCAGCACACACACTTTGCTGATGC